ATCAGGTTTCTCAGATAAACAGTTCTCTAACATTATGATAAGATAGGTTAAGATAGATACGTTTTCTTTTTGTTGTGTTTTGCTGCGGTTGCAGATTTAATAAGAATGATTCCACAAAGTTCCACTGTGGATCAGTTTGTTTCTCAGTCTGAGCTCTGATTTTGTATCATTAAACTTACTATACATTCATGAATAAACTAACTGCCTAACAAAGGGTTAGATAGGCATGATCTATTCAATTACGGCATAATTCTACTATTTGTATTCATTTGCATCACTGTCAATAACGTACTTTTATTTTGAAGGCTAACCGCAAAGGCCACTATTGTGGCTAATCCTTATTGTGTCTAGCTTCACATAGATGGGTCCGACCACCATTAATCAAATAAGAACTGTCTTATCAATTAGGGTTATTTTAGATGATGACACCTAGCTAGATGGTTAGCTAGCAAACTATCGCTATTGAAACAGATTGTGTCGTTTTGCTATGTTTTTGGGGAAGAACATTGTTTGCATCCCTCAGCTAGCTAGCTTTTTTAATGACCAGCACTGTAGGTGCTCGAGACATCTTTACCAGCATCATAGCATACGTATCGATGAATCGTTGTCACATATGAAATACTAGTGATCGTGTAATTAGTGTGTAATAACTACGTAAAAAATTAATGAACGCGTTAAAATATTATGTGACATGCAGTCATATTCAGGTCCTGATTGGTCAACAAGCTTATTTGACACGTCAAATAGTATTAGGTTTTTTGACATGCAAAGACCCAAACGGCGAACCATACAAACGAGCCCTGTTTGCCTCTGAAACATTAAAGACTCAGATATTCAAATGCATTGGTGTGGTGTGTTTGCATAACGTTAGTGTTTTAATTGGTGTCTGTCTTAATTGAGAATTTGTCCAAGATTTTGCACTATGTGCAACTGAAACTGTTAACCAGCTAAATGTTGCTATCCTAAATGAACCACACTGTTTAAAAGAAGGCATGTGTAAAATAGTGGTGCATAACTGCTCATTTAGCCTCTAATCTTCAAATAAATCAAGTGAATTTTGTACAAGCAATAATTTAAACCGATCAATGAAGTGCCAAGACAAAATTTGTTTCTTACTTTAGCGCAGTGGTGTCAAACTCATTCCATGGAGGGCCTAGTGTGTGCAGGTTTTTGTTTTTTCCTTTCAATTAAGACCTAGACAACCAGGTGAGCTTAATTCAGCAATCAAGTACAAAGAAGGAGTGAAAACCCACAGACACTCAGCCCTCCTTGTAATGAGTTTGATGCGTGCTCTAGAGTAAGGGCTGTCAAACCTGTCAAAAAGAGAAAACGCAAGCAATAATTTATTATGGTCCTTTGTCAGGAACTCAGTTAGAGAATCAACCACACCTGAGTAAATTTCTGAATTCCAAATCAACCCTTAGCCCCGACACCTACCACTTAGTCACTTATGGGCATTTGAAATGATCAGATAGGTTAAAGCAATATGGAAATTGCTTCACCTTGCCTTCTGATAGGCTGGATGCCATATTGCTTATACCTATCCAATAATTTGTGTCTAGGCCAGGGTGTAGGATTTAGGGGTAAATTTGGAATTAGGAATTAAATGTAGTTCAGTGGCTGACAGCTGTCCTTAATTAGCAAACCATATTAGAAGGGTCTGGGATTTCTTTAAATGAGCAACCAAAAGACTGGCAGATACAGCAAAAGTGAAATTCTGGTAGGGCTTATGTGCAACATCAGTTCTGAATACTGGTGAGGGTTTGAGGCGCAAAATGGCTGTGATGATTGGGATCTATTTCAGGTATGTTTTAAAAGTATTGATCTTATTTGTTTCCCTTGTCCTTCAGTTATGTTGAACACTTAATTTTTTTCTTAAGAGTTTCTTGGCTTTGTCTGCTAATTGGAGGGATAACCTGCTCTACATCAAAAGGTGAGTTTCTACACATTTCAAATAACAGTTATATAGTTCTAACAACTTCAAAGGCTGGTATTTTACAGTTTAGAGATTTTTTTGTTGTTGCCTAGATTATGGATATCCTGCACAAAGTTCTGATGCAGCATGGCTCTATGCAGGATCACTTGGGTCTATAGGATATTACAACTCTCCAGCAGCTCCAATGCAAGAACAGCTGACCACCGAGCCACAGAAATATCCGGCCGCCATCCTGCAGAAGCAACCGGCCCCTATGCCACCTCAACAAGTGCAGCATCCAGCTCAAATTCCCCTGCAGCAAAAGCATCTGGCCGCCATGCCTCAGCCACAGAAGCCACAGCAACCTCAGCAAGTGTGGTATCCAGTTCAAATGCCCCAGCAGCAGAAGCAACCGGCCGCTGAACCTCAGCAGCAGAAGGAACTAACCGCCATATCACAGCTACCTCAGCAAGTTTGGCATCCAGCTCAAATTCCCCCGCAGCAGAAGAAACCGGCTGCTGAACCTCAGCAGCAGAACAAACCGACCACCATATCACAGCTACCTCAGCAAGTGTGGCATCCAGCTCAAATGCCCCAGCAGCAGAAGAAACCAGCCACTGAACTTCAGCAGCAGAAGGAACTGACGGCCACACCCCAGCAATGTCAGCAAGTGTGGCATCCAGCTCAAATGCCCCAGCAGCAGAAGCAACCGGCCTCCATGCCTCTACCACAGAAGCAACCGACTGCCATGCCACAGCAAGTGTGGTATCCAGCTCAATGTCCGCAGAAGCAACTGGCCGCTGAACCTCCGCCGCAGGAGGAACCCACCTCCGTACCTCAGCAAGTGTGGCATCCAGCTCAAATGCCCCAAAAGCAACCAGCCACTGAACCTCAGCAGCTGAAGGAACCGACCGCCATACCTCAGCAAGTGCGCTATCCAGCTCAAATGTCCCATCAGCAGAAGCAACCGGCCCCAATGCCCCAGCAAGTGTGGTATCCAGCTCAATTTCCCCAGCAGCAGAAACAACCGGCCTCCATGCTGCTACCACAGAAGCAACCGACCACCATGCCCCAGCAAGCGTGGCGTCCAGCTCAAATGCAGCAGAAGGAACCGACCGCCATACCTCAGCAAGTGCGCTATCCAGCTCAAATGTCCCATCAGCAGAAGCAACCGGCCCCAATGCCCCAGCAAGTGTGGTATCCAGCTCAATTTCCCCAGCAGCAGAAACAACCGGCCTCCATGCTGCTACCACAGAAGCAACCGACCACCATGCCCCAGCAAGCGTGGCGTCCAGCTCAAATGCAGCAGAAGGAACCGACTGCCATGCCACAGCAAGTGTGGCATCCAGCTCAAATGCCCCAGAAGCAACCATTCACTGAACCTCGGCAGCAGAAGGAATCCACCTCCGTACCTCAGCAAGTGTGGCATCCAGCTCAATTTCCCCAGAAGCAACCGGCCTCCATGCCCCAGCAAGAGTGGCATCCAGCTCAAATGCAGCAGAAGCAACCGGTCCCAATACCCCAGCAAGTATGGCATCCAGCTCAAATGCCCCAGCAGCAGAAGCAACCGGTCCCAATACCCCAGCAAGTATGGCATCCAGCTCAAATGCAGCAGAAGCAACCGGTCCCAATACCCCAGCAAGTATGGCATCCAGCTCAAATGCAGCAGAAGCAACCGGTCCCAATACCCCAGCAAGTATGGCATCCAGCTCAAATGCAGCAGAATCAACCGGCCTCCATGCTGCTACCACAGAAGCAACCGACCGCCATGCCTCAGCAAGTGTGGTATCCAGCTCAAATGCCCCAGCAGCAGAAGCAACCGGCCGCTGAACCTCAGCAGCAGACGGAACTGACTGCCATACCCCAGCAAGTGTGGCATCCAGCTCAAATTCCCCAAAAGCAACCGGCCGCTGAACCTCCGCAGCAGAAGGAACCCACCTCCGTACCTCAGCAAGTGTGGCATCCAGCTCAATTTCCCCAGAAGCAACCGGCCTCCATGCCCCAGCAAGAGTGGCATCCAGCTCAAATGCCCCAGCAGCAGAAGCAACCGGTCCCAATACCCCAGCAAGTATGGCATCCAGCTCAAATGCCCCAGCAGCAGAAGCAACCGGTCCCAATACCCCAGCAAGTATGGCATCCAGCTCAAATGCAGAAGCAACCGGTCCCAATACCCCAGCAAGTATGGCATCCAGCTCAAATGCAGCAGAAGCAACCGGTCCCAATACCCCAGCAAGTATGGCATCCAGCTCAAATGCAGCAGAAGCAACCGGCCTCCATGCTGCTACCACAGAAGCAACCGACCGCCATGCCTCAGCACGTGTGGTATCCAGCTCAAATGCCCCAGCAGCAGAAGCAACCGGCCGCTGAACCTCCGCAGCAGAAGGAACCCACCTCCGTACCTCAGCAAGTGTGGCATCCAGCTCAATTTCCGCAGAAACAACCTGCATCCATGCCTCTACCACAGAAGCAACCGACCACCATGCCCCAGCAAGAGTGGCATCCAGCTCAAATACCCCAGCAGCAGAAGCAACCGGTCCCAATACCCCAGCAAGTATGGCATCCAGCTCAAATGCCCCAGCAGCAGAAGCAACCGGCCGCTGAACCTCAGCAGCAGACGGAACTGACTGCCATACCCCAGCAAGTGTGGTATCCAGCTCAAATTCCCCAGAAGCAACCGGCCGCTGAACCTCCGCAGCAGAAGGAACCCACCTCAGTACCTCAGCAAGTGTGGCATCCAGCTCAATTTCCGCAGAAACAACCGGCCTCCATGCCTCTACCACAGAAGCAACCGACCACCATGCCCCAGCAAGAGTGGCATCCAGCTCAAATACCCCAGCAGCAGAAGCAACCGGTCCCAATACCCCAGCAAGTATGGCATCCAGCTCAAATGCCCCAGCAGCAGAAGCAACCGGTCCCAATACCCCAGCAAGTATGGCATCCAGCTCAAATTCCCCAGAAGCAACCGGCCGCTGAACCTCCGCAGCAGAAGGAACCCACCTCCGTACCTCAGCAAGTGTGGCATCCAGCTCAATTTCCGCAGAAACAACTGACCGCCATACCTCAGCAAGTGCGCTATCCAGCTCTAATGTCCCATCAGCAGAAGCAACCGGCACCAATGCCCCAGCAAGTGTGGCATCCAGCTCAATTTCCCCAGCAGCAGAAACAACCGGCCTCCATGCGGCTACCACTGAAGCAACCGACCACCATACCTCAGCAAGTGTGGTATCCAGCTCAAATGCCCCAGAAGCAACCAGCCACTGAACCTCAGCAGCAGAAGGAACCCACCTCCGTACCTCAGCAAGTGTGGCATCCAGCTCAATTTCCCCAAAAGCAACCGGCCTCCATGCCTCTACCACAGAAGCAACCGACCACCATGCCCCAGCAAGAGTTGCATCCAGCTCAAATGCCCCAGCAGCAGAAGCAACCGGTTCCAATGCCCCAGCAAGTATGGCATCCAGCTCAAATGCCCCAGCAGCAGAAGAAACCAGCCACTGAACTTCAGCAGCAGAAGGAACTGACGGCCACACCCCAGCAATGTCAGCAAGTGTGGCATCCAGCTCAAATGCCCCAGCAGCAGAAGCAACCGGCCTCCATGCCTCTACCACAGAAGCAACCGACTGCCATGCCACAGCAAGTGTGGTATCCAGCTCAATGTCCACAGCAGCAGAAGCAACCGGCCGCTGAACCTCCGCAGCAGGAGGAACCCACCTCCGTACCTCAGCAAGTGTGGCATCCAGCTCAAATGCCCCAAAAGCAACCAGCCACTGAACCTCAGCAGCTGAAGGAACCGACCGCCATACCTCAGCAAGTGCGCTATCCAGCTCAAATGTCCCATCAGCAGAAGCAACCGGCCCCAATGCCCCAGCAAGTGTGGCATCCAGCTCAATTTCCCCAGCAGCAGAAACAACCGGCCTCCGTGCCGCTACCGCAGAAGCAACTGACCGCCATACCTCAGCAAGTGTGGTATCCAGCTCAATTTCCCCAGAAGCAACCGGCCGCTGAACCTCAGCAGCAGAACAAACCGACCGCCATACCCCAGCAAGTGTGGCATCCAGCTCAACTTCCCCAGACGCAACCGGCCTCCATGCCTATACCGCAGAAGGAACCGACCGCCATGCCCCAGCAAGAGTGGTATCCAGCTCAAATGCCCCAGAAGCAACAGACCGCCATGCCACCGCAGCAGCTGACCCCTATGCCTGAGCAATTATGGCATGTAGCTCAAATGCCCCAGAAGCAACTGGCCTTAATGTCTCCGCAGAAGCACTACGAAAGCACTGAAGATGGTGCCTCTAGCTCTCAAGCCAGCGTCGTTGAACAGTCGGTTCTCATCCCAATTTATTCCTACAGTTCCAAATCGCGCTACGAGAATGGCAAAACTGTCTTCTCCCAAACCCGCTACACTCCTGGGGAGGCAATGCCTGTTGATAGTGGAAATTCTCTCAAGGACAATCATGTTGACATTGCTGCACCAAGCATATACCCACCACTAGTAAAGGATCCTGCAAGGTAATGTACAACTTTAACCTGATCTGAACTTTGCTTTCTGAATTTGAAGTCCTTTGTAATAACCATATATCTATCAACAGGAAAATCTAATGGTGGATTCGTCTTCTAGAAGCTCTAATGGTGAGAATTGATTTAATGACAAATTGTTTAAATAACATTCTGCGTTGCTGACATTGTTCGACTTTCTTTCAGGTTTTGGTCTGCTTTTGTTTCAACCAGGAAGTTGCTGGTACTCTAGCATGACTGAATCAATAAACAATTTTACTTTCAAAAACGCCTAGTCTCTTTGAAATACTGAGGTTTATCTTGTACCCACTGCTTGCTGATTGGAAACAGTGTGCAGTCTGTAGTAAAAAGGAATGCTGTTCAGTTAATTATTTGGTTTTTGACTCGTTTTCACGTCTGTTACTGGTTGTTCAAATTAAAAGATTAGCTCTACAATAGTTTTGTCAAGTGGTGGTATGTCTGACATTCGTCATATGTTCATACTTTAGACGTAGGCATGCATTATATACAGTGTTGCGACAATATTGACTTCAACCTCAGTCTAAGCTTTTAAGATGGTCAGACCATGGCTCACTTAACTATTTGAATTTTTAGTACCCTTTCGGTATCACAATATTGACTTTGGCCTTATACTATAGCCCGTAAAACAAATGGTAAAGGGTCAAATAAATCAGTTTAGAAGTGTCTTCTATATCTAGGTGAAAGCTAAGATGGTGTTTTGGACACTTCAAACCATTACAACTACCTCCATGCCTCTTTGTATGGGTTACATTAAGCTGCTTCTTGACACTTGTGGGGGTCATTGAGCAAACTGAACAATGTTTGAGTCTCCCCTTTCCCTATTGGTCATAGTTTGTAGGCCAATCCGTTTGGACGATATAGATGTTCCTGTGAGTCCACTTTTTGGGACGTCTGACCAATTGCACTGTCCACTGCAGATTCGTAAGGGCGACCTAGGCGGATGCAGTGGATTTAGACGCAGCCCATACAAAACTTTCTGGCTTCAACTGATTTATTTCGATGGGCTTTTTTGTTACTTTGACGTGCATCAATATTCCTCCTGCTAGTCCATTTATTGTACCACAGGTTCCAATAGAAAGGATTCAGTGTACATTATCTTTACAATGCCTGGAACGGTTTATCCTATCAATTAACAAATATATTCTGTATAGAACATGTACATTTTTCTAAACCAAGTATTGTTGATCTAACTGCGTAGTATGGGAGTTCAGACTGTAGATGGATCCATTAAGTTTCAAAGAGGAAGCCGGTAGGCACTAGCAGGGAAGCTTAGCTAGCATAAATTGTCACCTGGGACTTATTCATTGACAACTTGACAGATTTGCCTGTTTTAGTTGACTGACTGTTTGGCCAAAGACTCATGAACATGGACGAAATTGTATATGCATTAAATTGTCTGCTTTCCTGTAAAACATTACTATTGTCGGACAATCTCTTCTAGCATACGTCAACAGGCGACTTCAGTTAATTTGTCACTATGGAATGTTTGGACAGTCTTACTGTGTCCGCAGCCTTTTTGCACAACACATGTCTACCTGACCCCTGAGGTTGCATCTGCAAATGCCCCTGGCAGAAACTTAATTAGCCTGCATTAAAAGGTGCACTTGATTAAGCTCACCCAGTGCAATGGGTAGTTAGATTTCACTCTATAAAACCATCGGATTGGTCCATGATGCGCTAACCCTCCAGCACACCAGCTGAATGAAATCAAGTGCACCTAAACTCAATTGGACCAATGGAAATTATGTTCGGTGGCTGGCAGCTGTACCTAATTAACCAGACAGATTAGCAGGGTCTAGGATTCCTTTATAAGGTGCAGCAAAAAAAAATAAAGATGATCAGCTACAATAAAGGAGATATCCTGGTAGGCTTCTGGCTACCATTAGTTTTGAATACTGAGGTTTTGATTTCATTTAACCCATACACTTAAGAGAAATATTCTGTTTATTCATGGATACTCATGAGCGGGATATCAAAGGTGCATCTAAATCGCTCATCCCGAATAAGACCTGGAGCTACTATCCAGAAAAATGTGTGCATGTAAACATGGTCACTGTCCAGTGGTGAAATGTCAGACCTTCCTCATATGTTCATACTTTAGATGTAGTTTTATGTAGGCGTGTGTAGTAACCTTGTAAATTATATTTACCAATAGATGGCAGTATTGTCAACATGGAGTTTGTTTCCCGCTTTCAGTACCCCTTTAAATGTCTGCCATTAACCGTGCACAAAAAAGCCTCAGGTAGCTTACTCCAGATGCACTCCTGTAATGTTACAATTAAATACTAATACGTACTTGCGTGTCTGGAGTCCTCGAGCTAAGAAGCATCCTAAGATACTACAGCATGCATTGTATATGGTTTTGAGATAATCTTGATTTATTCTTTAACCTGTAGCTCATTCCTCTTGTTAGTCCATTGTTAATCTTAGTTACTGCATGCTACTAAAGAATGGATTCAGTGTACTATCTTTACAATGCCTGGAACGGTTTAACCTATCAATTAACTAATATATTCTGTACAGACTACAGATCGTCTTTGAACATGTACATTTTTCTAAACCAAGTATTGTTGCTGAAATCACGGGAATGCCTGGAATGTTCTGATGCCGGGCATCCTGGCGGTTGGCGGAGTGGCGTGGAGGGGGTTGGGCAGGTGGATGGAGCATTGGAAGTTAAGACCAGGTTTAGCCTTTGTTCTCTCTCTTTACGTCTGGGCTTCACAAGAGAAGGTCACGATTGGCTTGTGGGTTATCTTTCATTTATTTGGCGTGGGCTACGGCCAAACAGTAGCCTGTGTAAAGTTGGTTTAATAAACCGTCCATTCGTAAACTCAATCCTCTGTCTGGACAGTTGTTCTTTTATGATCTAGTCAGGTCATTACATTGGTGTCAGAAGTAAAAACGTTGATAAAAGTTAGCCAGCTAGCTAGCTGACTTCTGTGGCTAGCTACCGTAGGTGAGAACGGGGGTTGAAGATGCTTCGAGGGAATCCGAAAGTGAAGGTGGAGGTAGGGGACGATTATGGCCAAGGAGGTGCGTGTGCATGGACGTCGGGGGTTCTGGCTGAGGAGATCGCCAGGGCATCGGAGCCCAGAGGCGGCTTGAGGGAGGACGTTAGAGTGATGGCGGCTGAAGCGGGCATGAGTGCTTCGTCGACTGTGTTTCGCGCAGATTCTGGTGGGCGGACCGAAGGGGTGACGTCGACGCGGCGGGACGAGGAATCTGGGGCTCAGGATGTAAACAAACATGGCGGCGCCCAGTTCCCGGCTGCGTCCGTATCCGTTAAGACCCCGAAGTATTCCGGTAAGGCGGATTGGGAAGCTTTTCATGCTCAGTTTGAACTGTTAGCTCATTTTAGGGGGTGGTCGGATGAAGATAGGGCACTGCAGTTGGCTTCATGCCTCACGGATGAAGCTCTGGCCTGTTTGATATTGATTAGCCCCGAGGACAGACGTGATTATGGTGCTTTAGTGGGAGCACTGAGGAGGCGCTATGGACAGTGTGTACAGCCCGGGCTACTGCGCTCCGAACTGAGTAATAGACGCAGGCAGCCTGGAGAGCCTCTACGGGTGCTAGCTAATGACATTGAGAGCCTCTCTCGGCGGGCATATGCTCACATGCCCCCCTCCGTGCAGAGCGAGCTAGCACGGGACCAGTTCATACAGGCGCTCTCTCCTACGGAGCTGCGCATACAGACCCAGCTGGCTCATCCTGAGTCATTGCAGGTAGCCTTGGAGATGGCTTTGGAGAGGGAGCTGGTGTGGGCTGGGGCTTCAGCTGGGGCTTTGGTGGGGGTGCAGGGAGACAGACCCTCTGTGCGAGCTGGGGGGCAGAGCAGCCCGGAGCCGGAAAAGCCTGCATGGGTGGCTGAAATGACAGAACTCATTCGTGCTGTGTCGCTACAGGCGGCACGAAACACACGCCCTGGTCCCAGGGTCTGCTGGGGTTGTGGCCAGCCAGGCCATCTGCGCCGAGATTGCCCCATGTCCCCCAGAGCTCAGGGAAACGGCTCGGGGTCCGCATAGACCGGGTAGTGCGGTCCCCTGGCTTTCTATCCCAACCACCATCTTCTTCAGGAGGAGCCCACCGGCACAGACGGGGAAGCAAGGCTCCACTTCCCCCAGAAGCAGACGAGGGCAAGCGGATGGAGCCTGTTGTTGTGGTGGGCCGGACCTGTGTTGGGGACTTTTGTCATGTCCCTGTCACTGTGGAGGGGGTGCCCTGCTCCGCCCTGGTGGACACTGGGTCCACAGTAACCCTGGTGAGGCCAGATATTGTGCCAGGTTGGACTCAGTGTGAGCCTACAACTGTGCAGCTCCGCACAGTCACAGGTGAGCTGGCACCCATGAAAGGGAAGGGAATAATGACTCTGACAGTAGGGGGCAGGACTGTGCGTCATCCTGTGTGGGTGGCGGCTGTGCAGGACCCTTGTATCCTGGGGTTGGACTTTCTTAGGAGCACAGGCTGCCAGTTAGACCTAAATAGGGGCACACTGAGCTTCCAGGGAGGGCCGGAGGTCACCATGGCCCCTAATGTCACATTCACTCAACCCAACAAACCCTTTACTCCAACAGTTAAAGCAGCAGAGACTCATGGCTGCCCCCCCTCCCCCACATCTGGGTGTGACTTTTCCCCAGCTCCCCTGTCACCTACGGCGTTGTGTTACATTCCCCCAGCTACCTCCACGACACAGCCCTCTGTGAGCCCGGGCCGCGCCCCCCCAGCCCAGCTACCCCAGATGGGAGGGGAGAGGACACTGTCTGCAGTGAGGGAGATATGGGGGAGGAACTGTGTTGGTCTTGACCCCGAGCAGCAGGAACGGTTGAAGCAGTTGCTGTTTGAATTCAGAGACAGCTTTGCGCTGAGTGAGGAAGAGGTGGGTCAGACTCATCTCGTGCAGCATGAGATCGACACAGGTGATGCTCGACCTATCAAGATGCGTCCCCGCCGTATCCCGCTGGCACGCCAGGAGGCGGCAGACAAGGCTGTGTTGGAGATGCAGCGGGCAGACTTCATTGAGCCCTCAGACAGCCCCTGGGCGGCGCCAGTCGTCATGGTTCCGAAGAAGGGGGGCAAGCTGAGGTTCTGTGCGGACTACAGGCGGCTGAATGAGGTAACCAGGAAGGACTCATACCCCATACCACGTATCGATGAGTCGCTGGACCTGGTTAGGGGGTCCTCCTGGTTCTCCTCACTAGACCTCCGCAGTGGCTACTGGCAGGTGCCCCTCTCCCCAGAGGCCAGAGCCAAAACTGCGTTCTCCACTAACAGAGGACACTGGCAGTTCAAGGTCCTGTGCTTTGGCTGTGCAACGCTCCAGCTACTTTTGAGCGTTTGATGGACAGGGTGCTGGATGGCATCCCCCGACAGCAGTGTCTGGTATACCTCGATGACATCCTGGCCCATGGCAGCTCCTTCCAGTCAGCCCTGGGGGCGCTACGGTGTGTGCTGGAGAGGGTGGCTGCCGCAGGTCTGAAGCTCCACCCCGAGAAGTGCCACTTCATGAGGAGAGAGGTGTCCTTCTTGGGCCACCGAGTGGGGAAGGAGGGGATCAGCACCATGGAGGACAAGGTAGCGGCTGTCAGAGACTGGCCCACCCCCACCGACCAGCGTCAGCTGAAGAGCTTCCTGGGCCTGGCCTCGTACTACAGGAGGTTTGTACGGGGCTTCTCAAGCGTTGCTGCTCCACTGAACCGCCTGCTGCCGAAGGACAAGGCTTTCACTTGGACAGTGGAGTGTGAGGAGGCGTTCAACACCCTCAAACGTGCACTGATCGAGGCCCCCGTGCTCGCCCCCCCTGACCTCACATTGCCCTTTATCCTGGACACAGACGCGAGCAATGTGGGCATGGGTGGGGTGTTGGCCCAGGTGGGGCCAGAGGGGGAGAGAGCGGTGGCGTACTTCAGCAAAACATTTGACAAACATGAGCGCCGCTACTGTGTCACCCGGCGGGAGCTCTTGGCTGTTGTGGCTTCCGTCAAACACTTCAAGTACTACCTGGGTGGTCTGCCCTTTACTGTAAGGACCACTCTGCTCTCCAGTGGCTCATGTCTTTCAGAGAGCCAGAGGGGCAGGTGGCACGCTGGTTGGAGGAGCTTCAGCCGTATGACTTCACGGTGGTGCACAGGGCAGGGGCACGCCACTCCAACGCCGACGCCATGTCCCGTCGGCCCTGTACTGCAGACGGCTGCCGCCACTGTGAACGGAGAGAGGGACGGGAGAGAGAGCTGTGTGCAGAGGAGGGGGTCTGTGCCACAGTGTGTCGGGCGAGCGGGCCTGTCTGCTGTGAGCTGCAGACTGTCGACGTGGCTGAATGGGGGCAGCAGCAGGGACGGGACACAGACCTACAGCCAGTGCTACAGTGGGTAGAGGCGCAGGTGAGGCCACCATGGGAAGAGGTGACAGCGCTCTCACTCGCGACCAAAGGGTTGTGGTCAAAGTTTGAGCGACTGCGGCTGGCTGATGGCGTGTTACAGCGGGCATGGAAGGAGTCAGCTACGGGGGAGGAGAGGTGGCAGGTGGTGGTCCCAAAAGCATTGCGGGAGGCTGTGCTCCAGAGTACTCATGGGGGGGTGAGGACTGGACACTTTGGGGTCACAAAAACACTGCGCCGCCTCCGTCAGGGCTTTTACTGGGGGCAGCACAAGAGGGATGTGGAAGACTTTTGCCGCCGCTGTGACAACTGCACAGCGAGAAAGGGCCCCCCAGGCCGCTCTCATGCTCAGCTCCAACAGTTCCTAGTGGGGGCTCCCATGGAGAGGGTGGGAGTGGATGTAGTTGGGCCGTTCCCCACCACAGACAGTGGAAACCGCTGGGTGCTCACGGCCATGGACTATTTCACAAAATGGCCCGAGGCCTATGCTCTGCCTGACCAGGAGGCAGAGACCATTGTCGACGCCCTGACAGCGGGGATGTTCAGCAGGTTTGGAGCTGCAGAGTCCATCCACAGCGACCAAGGCAGAAACTTTGAGTCCCGTGTGTTCGCCACCATGTGTGAGAGGCTGGGTATGCACAAGACCCGCACTACTCCTCTCCATCCTCAAAGTGATGGCCTTGTGGAGCGCTTCAACAAAACGCTTGGACAGCAGCTGGCCATCGTCTCTTCCAAACACCAGCGTGACTGGGACAAGCACCTGCCTATGGTCCTCATGGCATGCCGCTCCGCTGTCCAAGACTCCACCTCCTGCACGCCTGCCCTCCTCATGCTGGGGAGAGAGATCCGTACCCCTGCGGAGATGGTGTTTGGTCGGCCCCTGGATAGCCCTCATGTTTCCCTGGGGCCGGAGTATGCCCGGAGACTCCAGGACCGCCTGGAGACAGCCCACACCTTCGCCAGAGAGCAGCTGCTGAATGCAGGTGTGAGGCAGAAGAGGAACTATGACGTGCACACCCGGGGAAGGCACTTTGTGGCTGGGGAGCTGGTCTGGGTCTACAGCCCTCTAAGGAAAAAAGGCAGATGCCCCAAGTTGGACAGTCACTGGGTGGGACCCTGCAGTGTCCTGGAGAGGGTAGGGGAGGTTGTTTACCGGGTGCAGCTTCCTCCCAGGGGGAGAAAGGTGACACTGCACCGGGACAGGTTAGCTCCATATAGAGGGGCCTCTTCTCCCCAAACCCCAGGAACCCCCACAATTCCCCTCTCTGGCAATGACATTCTCCAGACAGCCCACTCCCCCTGTGTCACCGCGTGGTTCCCCAGAGCCACAGACTGTATTACCCGTTCCCGCTTCCTTGTCCCCCATGTCCTTGCCTTCATCCCCTGGTTCCCAGAGGGGCACTCTGCGGCCATCACAGCCACGCAGGCAAAGGAGACCTCCGGGTCGCTTCAGAGACTTTGTTTGTTCCCTCGGGGACGAGGGACTTTGTGGTGGGGGGGCTGTGTAGCGACCCGCACAGACAGCTGTGTGTTATGTGTTAGGCTAGGAGATGGTTGTGTTGTACCTACCAGTACCCAGTGTTCGCGGGGTCCGACATGTCAATCAACCTGCTATCTGCCAATCACGGGAATGCCTGGAATGTTCTGATGCCGGGCATCCTGGCGGTTGGCGGAGTGGCGTGGAGGGGGTTGGGCAGGTGGATGGAGCATTGGAAGTTAAGACCAGGTTTAGCCTTTGTTCTCTCTCTTTACGTCTGGGCTTCACAAGAGAAGGTCACGATTGGCTTGTGGGTTATCTTTCATTTATTTGGCGTGGGCTACGGCCAAACAGTAGCCTGTGTAAAGTTGGTTTAATAAACCGTCCATTCGTAAACTCAATCCTCTGTCTGGACAGTTGTTCTTTTATGATCTAGTCAGGTCATTACAGTATCTATTCATTAGGAGGGATAACCTGTTATTCTACACCTATAGGTGTTTGTTCTACACCAATTAATTCAGTTAAAATAACAGTATTTGTATAGTTCCAATAACTTCAAATTCTGGCATTTTACTATTTTGAACTTTTTGCATTTGTTTCCTAGGTAATTATAGATACAGTGGGAAAAAAAGTATTTAGTCAGCCACCAATTGTGCAAGTTCTCCAACTTAAAAAGATGAGAGAGGCCTGTAATTTTCATCATAGGTACACGTCAACTATGACAGACAAATTGAGATTTTTTTCCTGAAAATCACATTGTAGGATTTTTAATGAATTTATTTGCAAATTATGGTGGAAAATAAGTATTTAGTCACCTACAAACAAGCAAGATTTCTGGCTCTCACAGACCTGTAACTTCTTCTTTAAGAGGCTCCTCTGTCCTCCACTCGTTACCTGTATTAATGGCACCTGTTTGAACTTGTTATCAATATAAAAGACACCTGTCCACAACCTCAAACAGTCACACTCCAAACTCCACTATGGCCAAGACCAAAGAGCTGTCAAAGGACACCAGAAGCAAAATTGTAGACCTGCACCAGGCTGGGAAGACTGAAACTGCAATAGGGTAAGCAGCTTGGTTTGAGGAAATCAACTGTGGGAGCAATTATTAGGAAATGGAAGACATACAAGACCACTGATAATCTCCCTCGATCTGGGGCTCCACGCAAGATCTCACCCCGTGGGGTCAAAATGATCACAAGAACGGTGAGCAAAAATCCAAGAACCACACGGGGGGACCTAGTGAATGACCTGCAGAGAGCTGTGACGAAATTAACAAAGCCTACCATCAGTAACACACTACGCCGCCAGGGACTCAAATCCTGCAGTGCCAGACGTGTCCCCCTGCTTAAGCCAGTACATGTCCAGGCCCGTCTGAAGTTTGCTAGAGTGCATTTGGATGATCCAGAAGAGGATTGGGAGAATGTCATATGGTCAGATGAAACCAAAATATAACTTTTTGGTAAAAACTCAACTCGTCGTGTTTGGAGGACAAAAGAATGCTGAGTTGCATCCAAATAACACCATACCTACTGTGAAGCATGGGGGTGGAAACATCATGCTTTGGGGCAGTTTTTCTGCAAAGGGACCAGGACGACTGATCCGTGTAAAGGAAAGAATGAATGGGGCCATGTATCGTGAGATTTTGAGTGAAAACCTCCTTCCATCAGCAAGGGAATTGAAGATGAAACGTGGCTGGGTCTTTCAGCATGACAATGATCGCATGACAATGAACACTCGCTTCGTAAGAAGCATTTCAAGGTCCTGGAGTGGCCTAGCTAGTCTCCAGATCCAGTGGCGGCTCCTGAAAAAATTCTCAGGGGGGGCAATTTTTCTGATGATTTAGGTGACCTATACACATTTTTAAAAAGATATGTCCAGCAACAACATGAAGACAGGGGCAGCATATAAGTCAATACCAGAAGCATTTATTGACTGATCTCAAAAGTGTTGGCTTACAAAATCAAAATAAGTTATCACAGTAAAAATAATCAAGGGTGTTCTTTCACATTCCTCAACACTGCATAAACAATATGCATTTCCATAAACAAATGAAATATCAGCTGAAAATACAGCATCTTGGTATTTGTTCAGATTGCAGGATCAACAAGAGCTTTTACCACATTTTTTGCCTCATGGTTGAATTGGAAATATGTGCACCTGAGCATAATTCACAACAAGCAAGCAGGAGCTTTTGATAGAGGCTACTGAAAACATTGATGCAAGTTATTGGTAATAAGACATTTTTATAGACTTCCATATTCTGCCCTCTTGTATAGATTTGTGTAAATGAACAGTGATAGACATTTTGCTTGAAAACAGAATTTGAAAGTAATTTCTAGAAAAGGTAAACACAGCTATCTGTATGGCTTTGTAAAAATGAACAACCATATTCTGGCCAATTGTATAGATTTGTAAATATGAACAACCATATTCTGGCCAATTGTATAGATTTGTAAAATGAACATGAACAGATTTTTTTTTTTGTTTACTTTTTTTTAAATGAAAAATAACTATTTTAAACAACATCAACTGTGAACTGATTTGGGCGTGTGTGTGTTAAAGAGACAGGGAGGGAGGGACAAAGAGAGAGAGAGGCTACATTACTTGTACTGAAACTGTTCTCTTCTCTGTTTCAATACAGCAAAGCGTTCAATGACTTTCTCATTGAAATCAGGCATGCTGAGGACTAGTTCCCTCTCCATGGAAAGCATGGCCAGTGCATTCAGACGTTCCTGGCCCATTGAATTTCGCAGGAATGTCTTAACTCGTGTCAAAGTTGAGAAACATCTCTCAGCTTCAGCTGTTGTCATGGGAGTAGTTATGAGGATGTTCAACAGAGTCACAGTCTCAGAGAACGTCTCCTGGAGGTTGTAGCTCATGAGAACCTGGTACAGTGCCAGTGCACCACAGCCTCCCTTGAATTCAGGATTCTCATAGATCAGAGATAGTTCTGTCTTGAGCTTTGCCTTGCTCAGCATGGGGTATGCATTCACAGTGGCATTCAGAGCCTCATCAGGAAATGAATGGCAGTACCTTTCAAACATGTCTGCTTGCAGTAAGGTAGCACTCACAAGGTGGCCAGAGAAAGAGAACCTTTCTTTGGTGTGATCCAGGATGGTGTTGCAGACCTCTTCAGACAGCCTCTGCTTCTCCTCTTCTCTCAAAGCTGTTCTGGGTCTTTTGGCTCCTGTTGCTTCTTGCAGCTGCTGTTGAGAGGAGTCCCTGAAGGCAAACAGACCAATGTGTTTGTTGGCTTTGTACAGTATTGTTGTCTATGTGATGCGCAGGTATATGCAATGTATCCATGATGTATAGTACAAATACTTCAGTTCCACTTAAAATGGGCAGGGATGCATAAAGTCTTTAGTGTTTAAGTTAGCCTTTGTGTCTCACATAGCCTGGATGTTCAGCACAGTATACAGTGGTGCTCATAAGCTTATGATCCCATGCTAAAGTTGACTAAAAAGAGGAATAAAAAAGAAAAGAAAATTGGTGTCCATAAAGGTTGGATTTTCCAACTTTTTTAATTAAGTCATTAAGATAAATTTCCAAAAGATGATTTTTTTATTTTTTTATTCCTCTTTTTAGTCAACTTTAGAATGTGTTCATACACTTATGAGCACCACTGCACAGTACACATAGTATATAAAATAAAATAGATTACACCACTGGCCATATATAATGAGAATAATGTAATTTCAAACACAAATGCAGTCTCCTTTCATGCATACATTTTCAAATAAAGCTCTGCTTTGAGAAAGATCGAATGATATTGTTTAATCTTACCTTATGGCCTGCACACTGCTTGTGAAGCTGTCGAGGGCACTTTTGATAAAGACAGCATCGATGTCCTTCTTCTGTAGCTTCTGGTACAGAATGTCGACGTGGGGCATGATTTTGTGAAAAAGCCGCAGGAAAAAAAATAAAATCTTCATCATGCAGCATCCTCACGTAGCCAGATGCCTCTCTCACTGTGCCCTGGTCAAATGAACCCAATGAACCCGTCCGGATGGCTTCAAAACATTCTATGAGGTCGTCTCGATTCTCGTAGACAGTGTTCACGACTCTGCTGTTGAAGTTCCACCGTGTGGATGAAGGTCTGGGCAGTCTTCGTGCAACAGTCTGGTCAAGAATGCTGGTGCGTTTGGGTGACCGGGAAAAAAAAGTTGTAATCCCGCTCAGATCGGAAAAGAAAATGTTCACTTTTTGATGCGAGAAGTAGCTTGCTGCATGATCAAATTCAGCTGATGCGCATAGCAATGCACGTAATGGGCATTCTTGAAATGCTCACGCACCTTTTTCTGCACACCAGCCTTCTCTCCCCTCATCACACTGGCTCCATCGTAAGCTTGCGCAATGAGTTTGACTTTCTCGTCATCGGCAAAAAGACCGTTCAGTCTCTCCAAAAGTACACTGGCGATTTGAAAGTGCGCTCCTGCACTTTGTGCTTGCTATCTATGTACCTCAGCACAAGCACCAACTGTGTCTGTAGAAACGTCCGTGGTCTCGTCAGCTTGGATAGCTACGAAGTTCGCAGACTTCACCTCCTCCACAATATGTTCCCTCGTGACCGCTAGCATACACTCCAGTAGCTCGTTTTGAATGGTCTTTGATGTGCCCTTGAAAACTTTAGCATTTTTAAGATGGTCATCAAACACCTCATCTAATTGTGCCACAAAGTTGACAAGTCCAAGAAAAATACCAGGGTTGGTGGAGCCCTCAGTTTCATCTTTGCCTCGCAAAGCTAACTCAAACACGCCGCAAAACTTCACACACTGGATTAGCCGGCTGAGGATATGGCGGTTCTTGCTAACCTCATCGTTGTGGCGGCGGACAGCTAGCCTGTATCCCTCATCCAGTTGAGTGGCAATATTCACTCTCCCCAAAGCAGAAATTCTCAAACAGCTATCCATGTGGGTCTTTGACAGCTCATGTTTCTTAATCTTTTCTGAAAGATGGTGCATGTCGGTTACACCAGTCGCTGTCCAAGCGGTGCTGTCTGAAGTGCCGCCTTCAGGGTGAATGAGTAAGCAGGGGTAGCAGAAAACTGCATTAGCTACATCGCAGCCTGCTAGCCAGGTTTTTCGTTCATACCAATTTTTGGAAAATCCTCGGGTGTAGGACTTCCCCCCTTTAGTAGAAACCTGTTGAATTATTAAATTTGGTCTGGGGAGGTCCTAATTGTTTCGTTGCCAATTTATCTTCATTTGTTCGCCGACAAAAAGGAACTTCTTTCAAAGACACAATCGAGTTGCACTGAAGCCTAGCCATGTTGATAGTAGTAGTGAATTGATTGAGGCTGCTACCCTCTCTTTTCTTAGTTACGTTCATGTGACGAAAGCGCGTAAGTGCAAGCCCTCAGAAACCCATAGAGATTGTATTGAAGGCTCTGAAATTTGAAAAAAAATAGATTTTACATGGGAGTCTATGACAGAGGTTCTGGGCGATTTTCAATCTGACTGAAATCGCCCCAAAAGGGGGTGGAGCCATTTGAAGCACGACTTTAGCCTGATTCGACATTTAGTGGCAGTGTGGCACTGTGGCAGATCAGACGTATAGATTACAACACTGATAACTACTGTTGCCGTGATATAATTGATTAGAAAAAAAATCCCTTCCTTTTCCCGTTTGGCAGTGCGTCGCCCATATCGCCCTATTGAACAGGCCGTCCCTGTCCAGATCTCAACCCCATAGAAAATCTTTGGAGGGAGTTGAAAGTCCGTGTTGCCCAGCGACAGCCCCAAAACATCACTACTCTAGAGGAGATCTGCATGGAGGAATGGGCCAAAATACCAGCAACAGTGTGTGAAAACCTTGTGAAGACTTACAGAAAACGTTTGACCTGTGTCATTGCCATCAAAGGGTATATAACAAAGTATTGAGAAACTTTTGTTATTGACCAAATACTTATTTTCCACCATAATTTGCAAATAAATTCATAAAAAATCCTACAATGTGATTTTCTGGATTTTTTTTCTCATTTTGTCTGTCATAGTTGACGTGTACCTATGATGAAAATTACAGGCCTCTCTCATCTTTTTAAGTGGGAGAACTTGCACAATTGGTAGCTGACTAAATACTTTTTTCCCCCACTGTATATTCCCCAGACTGCATTATATTGGTTTTCTTTCAAATGCCTTTGAGGGTTGAGCCTGCCTGGAGTGCCAGATAAGGTCAATTAAGAGCAGCTAAATAAGTACAGTGGGAAGAACAAGTATTTGATACATTTACATTACATTTACGTCATTTAGCAGACGCTCTTATCCAGAGCGACTTACAGTTAGTGAATACATTTTTTTTTTTTTATACTGGCCCCCCGTGGGAATCGAACCCACAACCCTGGCGTTGCAAACACCATGCTCTATCAACACAATGTGATTTTCTGGATACACTGCCGATTTTGCAGGTTTTCCTACTTACAAAGCATGTAGAGGTCTGTAATTTTTATCATAGGTACACTTCAACTGTGAGAGACGGAATCTAAAACAAAAATCCAGAAAATCACATTGTATGATTTTTAAGTAATTAATTTGCATTTTATTGCATGACATAAGTATTTGATACATCAGAAAAGCAGAACTTAATATTTGGTACAGAAACCTTTGTTTGCAATTACAGAGATCATACGTTTCCTGTAGATCTTGACCAGGTTTGCACACACTGCAGCAGGGATTTTGGCACACTCCTCCATACAGACCTTCTCCAGATCCTTCAGGTTTCGGGGCTGTCGCTGGGCAATATGGACTTTCAGCTCCCTCCAAAGATTTTCTATTGGGTTCAGGTCTGGAGACTGGCTAGGCCACTCCAGGACCTTGAGATGCTTCTTACAGAGCCACTCCTTAGTTGCCCTGGCTGTGTGTTTCGGGTCGTTGTCATGCTGGAAGACCCAGCCACGACCCATCTTCAATCCTCTTACTAAGGGAAGGAGGTTGTTGGCCAAGATCTCGCGATACATGGCCCCATCCATCCTCCCCTCAATACGGTGCAGTCGTCCTGTCCCCTTTGCAGAAAAGCATCCCCAAAGAATGATGTTTCCACCTCCATGCTTCACGGTTGGGATGGTGTTCTTGGGGTTGTACTCATCCTTCTTCTTCCTCCAAACACGGCGAGTGGAGTTTAGACCAAAAAGCTCTATTTTTGTCTCATCAGACCACATGACGTTCTCCCATTCCTCCTCTGGATCATCCAGATGGTCATTGGCAAACTTCAGACGGGCCTGGACATGCGCTGGCTTGAGCAGGGGGACCTTGCGTGCGCTGCAGGATTTTAATCCATGACGGCGTAGTGTGTTACTAATGGTTTTCTTTGAGACTGTGGTCCCAGCTCTCTTCAGGTCATTGACCAGGTCCTGCCGTGTAGTTCTGGGCTGATCCCTCACCTTCCTCATGATCATTGATGCCCCACGAGGTGAGATCTTGCATGGAGCCCCAGACCGAGGGTGATTGACCGTCATCTTGAACTTCTTCCATTTTCTAATAATTGTGCCAACAGTTGTTGCCTTCTCACCAAGCTGCTTGCCTATTGTCCTGTAGCCCATCCCAGCCTTGTGCAGGTCTACAATTTTATCCCTGATGTCCTTACACAGCTCTCTGGTCTTGGCCATTGCGGAAAGGTTGGAGTCTGTTTGATTGAGTGTGTGGACAGGTGTCTTTTATACAGGTAACGAGTTCAAACAGGTGCAGTTAATACAGGTAATGAGTGGAGAACAGGAGGGCTTCTTAAAGAAAAACTAACAGGTCTGTGAGAGCCGGAATTCTTACTGGTTGGTAGGTGATCAAATACTTATGTCATGCAATAAAATGCAAATTAATTACTTAAAAATCATACAATGTGATTTTCTGGATTTTTGTTTTAGATTCTGTCTCTCAGAGTTGTAGTGTACCTATGATAAAAATTACAGACCTCTACATGCTTTGTAAGTAGGACAACCTGCAAAATCGGCAGTGTATCAAATACTTGTTCTCTCCACTGTATGTAGGCATGCATTGTATACGGTGTTGAGACAATCTTGACTCACTCATCAACCTCAATCTAAGCCTTAGGGAGAGTACTAAGCTAACATATGGAATTGTTTTAAATGGTCATACATGATCATTTAGCTATATGAATTTGTGGGACCCTTTAGGTATCAAAATATTAAATTATTTGATAAAATACATAACTTTGCCTTTACTACTATAGCCCATAGAAACGCATTGAATGACACCTTTATAAATGCAAAGTTTTGAAGTCTGTCCTATATCTAGGTAATGGCTCAATAAATGTTTTTTTGGGCACATATTTAACCCCTTACATATGTTGGCACAACTACCTCCATACTTCCATTTGTTTGTATGGGTTACCTTCAGAGGAGTCTGTGAAACTTGTGGGGGCCATAGAGCAAAACGGAACCATGTTCGTGAGTCTCCCCTTTCCATAGCACGGCTGGCCCTTAAAAGTACACGGAGAGCTGACATTGATGACATGCATGTCAGTCTCTCCTGTCTCAGAGTGGAAGAGAGATTGACTTCATCACTGCTTGTTTATGTGAGAGGTGTCGACGAGCTGAATGTACCGAGCTGTCTGTTTGGAACACTGGCACACAGCTCTGACATCCATACATAACCCACAAGACATGCCACCAGAGGTCTCTTCACAGTCCCCAAAGTCCAGAATGGACTATGGGAGGCACACAGTACTACATAGAGCCATGACTACATGGAACTCGATTCCACATCAGGTAACTGATGCAAGCAGTAGAATCAGATTTTAAAAAACAGGTAAAAATACACCTTGTGGAACAGCGGGGACTGTGAAGAGACACACACACAGGTACATACACACATGCATATAGACGCTCACTCTACACACGTACACATGGATGTAGTCCCGTGTAGCTCAGTTGGTAGAGCATGGCGTTTGCAACGCCAGGGTTGTGGGTTCAATTCCCACGGGGGGCCAGTATGAAAATATATGCACTCACTAAAACTGTAAGTTGCTCTGGATAAGAGTGTCTGCTAAATGACTAAAATGTAAAAAATGTAATGTTGTATTGTAAATATGTGATAGTGGAGTAGTGGCCTGAGGGAACACAATAAATGTACTGGGTAAAGTGTTATGAAATATAATGTCTTTTAAATTGTATATAACTGCCTTAATGTTGCAGGACCCCAGGAAGAGTAGCTGCTACCTTGGCAGCAGCTAATGGGGATTCTTAATAAATACAAATGCAAAATAGTGGTCATTATAGTTTGTAGGCCAAACCGTTCAGACGCTACAGATGTTGTCGTGAGAAGACCAATTTTTGTGATGTCACATGGTCTGACAAACTCTGCTGTAGCTCGTCGACGGCAAATGCGGAAGGGCGACATAGGCGGATGCAGTGGATTGAGAAGCAGCCCATGCAAAAACCTGATATTTCTAGCTTAAACTGATGGATTTTTTTATGTTACCCAAATTGATTCACATGTGCGTCAACAGATTTTTAACCTGTAGCTCATTCCTCCTGCTAGTCCATTTATCGCACCACAGGCTCCTAAAGAATGGATTCAGTGTACTTGATCTTTACAATGCCTGGAACGGTTTAACTTATCAATGAACTAATATATTCTGTACAGACTACAGATCGTCTTAGAACATGTACATTTTTCTAAACCAAGTTTTGTTGGTGAAATCATCGAACTGCATAGTATGAGAATTCAGACCTTAAATGGATCCATTAAATTCCAAAGAGGACACCGGTAGTCACTAGCAGGGAGGCTTAGCTAGCATAAGGTGTCACCTGGGACTTATTCACAAACATTGACACAACTTGATACATTTGCCTGTTGTAGTCGACTGTCTGTTTGGCCTCATGGACATGGATGAAATTGTATATGCATTAAATTGTCTACTTTTATGTAAGAAGTTAGACTCTGTGTTGATGGACAATCTCTAGTCTAGCATACGTCAACAGACGACTACAGCTTATATTTTGTCACAATCTTACTGTGTCTGCAGCCTTTTTGCACAACACATTTCTACCTGACCACTGAGGTTGCACCTGCAAAAGCCCCTGGCAGGAACTTCATTAGCATTCATTAAAAGGTGCACTTGGTTAAACTCAATCAGTGCAATGGGTAGGTAGAGTTCACTCTTTAAAACCATCGGATTGGTCCATGATGTGCAAACCCTCCAGCACACCAGCTGAATGAAATCAAGCGCACCTAATCTCAATTGGGAAGTTGGACCAATGGAAATGATGTTCAGTGGCTGGCAGCTGTACCTAATTAACCAGCCAGATTAGAAGGGTCTAGGATTACTTTATAAGGCGCAGCAAGAAAAGATAATCAGATATAATAAGGGGGATCTCCTGGTAAGGCTTCTGGCTATCATTAGTTCTGAATACTGTGTTTTTTTGTTTTAGAAAGAAATGGCTGTGAATTTTGGTCTGTCTTTGAGGTAAGTTGTATCGCCCTAGTTTGTTTCCCTTGTCTCTCAGGTTTTACAGGTAGCTGTGTTTAACTGATTAGGATGTTTATTTTTTATTTAGAATTACTTGGATTTGTTGCCTGCTGATTGTAGGGATAACCTGTTATCCTCCACCTAAAGGTGTGTTCAACACATTCAGTTAAAATAACATTATTTTGTGTAGTTCCAAGAACTTCAAATGCTGGTATTTTACTATTTTTGACATTTTGTCTCGTTTCCTAGGTGACTATAGATATCTTCCCCAAATTGCAACAAAGGGAACCGGCTCCTACGCCCCCGCAACAAAGGGAACCGGCTCCTACGCCCCCGCAACAAAGGGAACCGGCTCCTACGCCCCCGCAACAAAGGGAACCGGCTCCTACGCCCCCGCAACAAAGGGAACCGGCTCCTACGCCCCCGCAACAAAGGGAACCGGCTCCTACGCCCCCGCAACAAAGGGAACCGGCCCCAACGCCCCCGCAGCAACGGAAGCACCCGGCCCCCAACGCCCCCGCAGCAACGGAAGCACCCGGCCCCAACGCCCCCGCAGCAACGGAAGCACCCGGCCCCAACGCCCCCGCAGCAACGGAAGCACCCGGCCCCAACGCCCCCGCAGCAACGGAAGCACCCGGGCCCCAACGGGGGCCCCCGCAGCAACGGAAGCACCCGGCCCACGCCCCCGCAGGGCAACGGAAGCACACGGCCCCAACGCCCCCGCAGCAACGGAAGCACCCGGCCCCAACGCCCCGCAGCAACGGAAGCACCCGGCCCCCAACGCCCCGCCAGCAACGGAAGCACCCGGCCCCAACGCCCCCGCAGAGCAACGGAAGCACCCGGCCCCAACGCCCCGCCAGCAACGGAAGCACCCCGGCCCCACGCAACGGAAGCACCCGGCCCCACGCAACGGAAGCACCCGGCCCCAACGCAACGGGGAAACACCCGGCCCCACGCAACGGAAGCACCGGCCCCACGCAACGGAAGCACCCGGCCCCAACGCAACGGAAGCACCCGGCCCCAACGCAACGGAAGCACCCGGCCCCAACGCAACGAGCACCCGGCCCCAACGCAACGGAAGCACCCGGCCCCAACGCAACGGAAGCACCCGGCCCCAACGCAACGGAAGCACCCGGCCCCAACGCAACGGAAGCACCCGGCCCCAACGCAACGGAAGCACCCGGCCCCAACGCAACGGAAGCACCCGGCCCCGCAGCAACGGAAGCACCCGGCCCCGCAGCAACGGAAGCACCCGGCCCCGCAGCAACGGAAGCACCCGGCCCCGCAGCAACGGAAGCACCCGGCCCCTCAGCAACGGAAGCACCCGGCCCCTCAGCAACGGAAGCACCCGGCCCCTCAGCAACGGAAGCACCCGGCCCCTCAGCAACGGAAGCACCCGGCCCCTCAGCAACGGAAGCACCCGGCCCCTCAGCAACGGAAGCACCCGGCCCCTCAGCAACGGAGGCACCCGGCCCCTCAGCAACGGAGGCACCCGGCCCCTCAGCAACGGAGGCACCCGGCCCCTCAGCAACGGAGGCACCCGGCCCCTCAGCAACGGAGGCACCCGGCCCCTCAGCAACGGAGGCACCCGCCCCAACGCCCCCTCAGCAACAGGAGGCACCCGGCCCCAACGCCCCCTCAGCAACAGGGGCACCCGGCCCCAACGCCCCCTCAGCAACAGGGCACCCGGCCCCAACGCCCCCTCAGCAACAGGGGCACCCGGCCCCAACGCCCCCTCAGCAACAGGGGCACCCGGCCCCAACGCCCCCTCAGCAACAGGGGCACCCGGCCCCTCAGCAACAGAAGCACCCGGCCCCTCAGCAACAGAAGCACCCGGCCCCTCAGCAACAGAAGCACCCGGCCCCTCAGCAACAGGGGTACCCGGCCCCAACGCCCCCTCAGCAACAGGGGCACCCGGCCCCAACGCCCCCTCAGCAACAGGGGCACCCGGCCCCAACACCCCCTCAGCAACAGAGGCGCCCGGCCCCTCAGCAACGACTGACCCAAATACCTTAGGTGAAGCGACAGGCGCCCTTGCCTCGGCAGAAGCGACAGGCGCCCTTGCCTCGGCAGAAGCGACAGGCGCCCTTGCCTCGGCAGAAGCGACAGGCGCCCTTGCCTCGGCAGAAGCGACAGGCGCCCTTGCCTCGGCAGAAGCGACAGGCGCCCTTGCCTCGGCAGAAGCGACAGGCGCCCTTGCCTCGGCAGAAGCGACAGGCGCCCTTGCCTCGGCAGAAGCGACAGGCGCCCTTGCCTCGGCAGAAGCGACAGGCGCCCTTGCCTCGGCAGAAGCGACAGGCGCCCTTGCCTCGGCAGAAGCGACAGGCGCCCTTGCCTCGGCAGAAGCGACAGGCGCCCTTGCCTCGGCAGAAGCGACAGGCGCCCTTGCCTCGGCAGAAGCGACAGGCGCCCTTGCCTCGGCAGAAGCGACAGGCGCCCTTGCCTCGGCAGAAGCGACAGGCCTTGAACAGGAGGGCCAACTTCTCAAGCAACTTGGATTTTAGCAGCAGTGATGGTTCTCAGGATGTTGGGTCCGATGTCGGTGACAATGAAAGCACTCAAGATGTCAGCTCCAGTAGCACTCAAGGCAGCATCGTTGAACAGTCTGTTCTCATTCCAATCTAGTTACAAATCGATTTATGAGAATGGCAAAACTGTCTTCTCCCAAACCTGCTACACCCCTGGGGAGGTTATACCTTTTGGATTGCAGAGATGCTCCCAAGGACTGTAGTGATGTTGGCATCTCTGAACCAAGCATATCCCCACCTGCTAAACTCTCAACCTGCTAAAAGGAACCCCACCACAAGGAAAGGCTCCTGGGATGCAATGTACAACTTTTACAGTCATCTGAACTTTGTTTCTGATTTTGTAGTCCTTTTGTACTAATTATCTATCAACAGAATTCTAATGGTGGATTCATCCTTTGGCTGCTCCAATGGTAGTACTTGATTTAAATAACCGGAAATGATGACAATTCTGAGTTGTTGCTGACGCTTCCTTTTGTTCCATTGTATGCGTTTGATTCGGCCAGGGAGTTCCTCCTGCATTACTTGAACAATAAAATATTTTAAATTCAGAAGTGCCTACTTGTGTTTGAAATACTGAGTTCTTTAATGTCTACCTTTGGCTTGCTGCTCGCGAACAGTGTTGGTTGCCAGGGGAGTTTGTAGGAACTGAACCACATTCCCTTTCACTAATCATTTGATTTTGTTAAATTCCAAGATTGGCTCTACATTAGAGCCACAGACCACGTTTACATGCACACTAATATCCCGTTATTATTTGGGATACTGACTTATTCGGTTGACGCATATAAACACATCCCGTTTACAATAACCTGAAAAAGCTTATCCCGGTTATCAGAAACCTGGACGAGATGCCTGCAATATGCTGATCGATGACGGGGATACTGTGGCGTGTAAAAATCTTATCCCGTTTTCTGCGGTCTGTGCAGGCTCCGTTTCGCATATCATGGGTGCTGTGTTCATCTGTCAAACAAATCACGTCAAAGTAGGCTGCCTGGGCATTTCAATCCACAATGTAGCCTATTGAATAATGGCTACTTTCACCCCTAATATAGACAAGCTTCTGCTTATTTCTGACATTAGGTAGGCCATTTGTCTACTCTGGTTTAATAGATGCAGCTTCCTGTCATTACGTGTTGCCCCAGAAGACTAAAGTATTGCTCACTTGACGTTTTACATTGAGAGAATTAATGCATTAGTAATCAAATACTGTTAAAATGATATTTAGAGACCAGGTAGAACGCTGTAACTCCAACCGTGGAAATGAGAAGCTGAGAATGGGAACTTCAGTTTGTCTTGGGTGCTTATTTTATGTGGTTGAAATGCTGTCTGCTTGCGAAAGAGTCAAGGATAACACATTACACATGCATTCGCATTTTCCCAGAGATGCTGATATAAATATTTATCCACTCGTGTTCTCAAGACAATTTAAAGTTACATTTGTATAATTTCACTGCAAGAAAACCATAATTCTGCAGAAGTTAATATTACATGTGAGGTTATAGGCATGCAGTCAGTGTCCATATTTCAGATACTATTCCATTTAACCCATACACGTAAATGAGGAATATTCTGTTCATTCATGAATACAGGGTGTTGCATCCTAAGATGCTGGGTCCTTTTACTGAAGACTCCGAAGCATACTTACTGTATAATAAACAGAACAGATTGATTTAATGTTCTCCTTAACACATTCCAGTCGACCACTCTCTACAGTGTCTTCAGCCCAGCTCCCCAACACATCATTGAACTTTCACCGCCCTTGCATCACCTAATCCAATCACTTCAATGCAAGAATGGAAAGCCCATTGTCATTTGTTAATTCAAATAACTCAACCCCTGCATACAAATCCCATTGACTATTTGCAACCATTTAAAATCTAAACTCATTAACACATAATACATTTCTCAATACACCACACATTTCTCAATTTCCCACTTCCTCTGAAAACATCATGGGTTTTCCAAAACAGTTTTTTCACTTATCACCTCATATACAACCTGTTTACAGATCCAACTGGTCCGAAGGCCTTCTGACCCTTTATGGCCTCTCATGACGCTCTGGACCCTCAGGCTCACGGCCTGGCACAATCTGTGTCTCTGTATGCGTGCCCATCACAGTCGTAGTGTCCAAGTCCCAATCAGAGATGTTCCACTCTGACACATTCAGGTCTTCTCTTTCATTGTGTTGCATCATCAAGTAGGTTACAGGACCAAGTACCCTTTTCACAACCCTGTGTACCCATTTCTCTCTGTCTCCTCCCCGGTAATCTCAGACAAGTACTGTTTGTTCCAACTGAAAATCATCCTGTATTTTAGACTGCATGTCAGCTGAAAATCTGGGTTTAACCAGTGATAACCTTGTTCTAACGTGTCTTTTTAGGAACAACTCAGCTTGGAGTTTTTTCCAGTTGTGGCATGTGGCGTATTCCTGTAGGCAAACATAAAGTTGTCCACACTATGCTGTACAGACCGTCCTGATGACTTGTCCTTCTCTAGAGCCTGTGTAGATTCTGTACAAGTCGCTCTGCTGCGCCATTTGAAGCTGCATGATACGGAGCCGACTTTTTAAAAATATTTAAAAAACATTTTTAGTCATTTAGCAGACGCTCTTATCCAGAGCGACTTACAGTTAGTGAGTGCTACATTTTCATACTGCCCCCCGTGGGAAACGAACCCACAACCCACTTGATGTGTTTCACCCCCATTCAACTAGAAGAATGTCTCCATCTCTTTTGACACCAGCTGTGGCCCATGTCTGAAACACACTCCTCAACTAACCCGTAGGCTGAGAACATTCCCCGGAGTGTCTCTACCGTGGCTGTAGCTGAAGTAATGTATTTCATACTCATATGCAGCTAGTATTAACGCCCACCCTGAGTCTGGATCTGCTGGAGCTGGAACCCTTTTTTGGTCCTATATTTTCACAAGAGGCTGATGTCTGTCAGCAGATCCTGGAAATACCATCCATGCCTCGGCAGAAAGCGACAGGCGCCTTGCCTCGGCAGAAGCGACAGGCGCCCTTGCCTCGGCAGAAGCGACAGGCGCCTTGCCTCGGCGAGCGACAGCGCCTTGCCTCGCAGAAGCGACAGGCGCCCTTGCCTCGGCAAGCGACAGGCGCCCTTGCCTCGGCAGAAGCGACAGGCGCCCTTGCCTCGGCAGAAGAAGCGGAAACAGGCCTTGAACAGGAGGGCCAACTTCTCAAGCAACTTGGATTTTAGCAGCAGTGATGGTTCTCAGGATGTTGGGTCCGATGTCGGTGACAATGAAAGCACTCAAGATGTCAGCTCCAGTAGCACTCAAGGCAGCATCGTTGAACAGTCTGTTCTCATTCCAATCTAGTTACAAATCGATTTATGAGAATGGCAAAAACTGCTTCTCCCAAACCTGCTACACCCTGGGGAGGTTATACCTTTTGGATTGCAGAGATGCTCCAAGACTGTAGTGATGTTGGCATCTCTGAACCAAGCATATCCCCACCTGCTAACTCTCAACCTGCTAAAAGGAACCCCACCACAAGGAAAGGCTCCTGGATGCAATGTACAACTTTTACAGTCATCTGAACTTTGTTTCTGATTTTGTAGTCCTTTGTACTAATTATCTATCAACAGAATTCTAATGGTGGATTCATCCTTTGGCTGCTCCAATGGTAGTACTTGATTTAAATAACCGGAAATGATGACAATTCTGAGTTGTTGCTGACGCTTCCTTTTGTTCCATTGTATGCGTTTGATTCGGCCAGGGAGTTCCTCCTGCATTACTTGAACAATAAAATATTTTAAATTCAGAAGTGCCTACTTGTGTTTGAAATACTGAGTTCTTTAATGTCTACCTTTGGCTTGCTGCTCGCGAACAGTGTTGGTTGCCAGGGGAGTTTGTAGGAACTGAACCACATTCCCTTTCACTAATCATTTGATTTTGTTAAATTCCAAGATTGGCTCTACATTAGAGCCACAGACCACGTTTACATGCACACTAATATCCCGTTATTATTTGGGATACTGACTTATTCGGTTGACGCATATAAACACATCCCGTTTACAATAACCTGAAAAAGCTTATCCCGGTTATCAGAAACCTGGACGAGATGCCTGCAATATGCTGATCTGTGGCGTGTAAAAATCTTATCCCGTTTCTGCGGTCTGTGCAGGCTCCGTTTCGCATATCATGGGTGCTGTGTTCATCTGTCAAACAAATCACGTCAAAGTAGGCTGCCTGGGCATTTCAATCCACAATGTAGCCTATTGAATAATGGCTACTTTCACCCCTAATATAGACAAGCTTCTGCTTATTTCTGACATTAGGTAGGCCATTTGTCTACTCTGGTTTAATAGATGCAGCTTCCTGTCATTACGTGTTGCCCCAGAAGACTAAAGTATTGCTCACTTGACGTTTTACATTGAGAGAATTAATGCATTAGTAATCAAATACTGTTAAAATGATATTTAGAGACCAGGTAGAACGCTGTAACTCCAACCGTGGAAATGAGAAGCTGAGAATGGGAACTTCAGTTTGTCTTGGGTGCTTATTTTATGTGGTTGAAATGCTGTCTGCTTGCGAAAGAGTCAAGGATAACACATTACACATGCATTCGCATTTTCCCAGAGATGCTGATATAAATATTTATCCACTCGTGTTCTCAAGACAATTTAAAGTTACATTTGTATAATTTCACTGCAAGAAAACCATAATTCTGCAGAAGTTAATATTACATGTGAGGTTATAGGCATGCAGTCAGTGTCCATATTTCAGATACTATTCCATTTAACCCATACACGTAAATGAGGAATATTCTGTTCATTCATGAATACAGGGTGTTGCATCCTAAGATGCTGGGTCCTTTTACTGAAGACTCCGAAGCATACTTACTGTATAATAAACAGAACAGATTGATTTAATGTTCTCCTTAACACATTCCAGTCGACCACTCTCTACAGTGTCTTCAGCCCAGCTCCCCAACACATCATTGAACTTTCACCGCCCTTGCATCACCTAATCCAATCACTTCAATGCAAGAATGGAAAGCCCATTGTCATTTGTTAATTCAAATAACTCAACCCCTGCATACAAATCCCATTGACTATTTGCAACCATTTAAAATCTAAACTCATTAACACATAATACATTTCTCAATACACCACACATTTCTCAATTTCCCACTTCCTCTGAAAACATCATGGGTTTTCCAAAACAGTTTTTCACTTATCACCTCATATACAACCTGTTTACAGATCCAACTGGTCCGAAGGCCTTCTGACCCTTTATGGCCTCTCATGACGCTCTGGACCCTCAGGCTCACGGCCTGGCACAATCTGTGTCTCTGTATGCGTGCCCATCACAGTCGTAGTGTCCAAGTCCCAATCAGAGATGTTCCACTCTGACACATTCAGGTCTTCTCTTTCATTGTGTTGCATCATCAAGTAGGTTACAGGACCAAGTACCCTTTTCACAACCCTGTGTACCCATTTCTCTCTGTCTCCTCCCCGGTAATCTCAGACAAGTACTGTTTGTTCCAACTGAAAATCATCCTGTATTTTAGACTGCATGTCAGCTGAAAATCTGGGTTTAACCAGTGATAACCTTGTTCTACGTGTCTTTTTAGGAACAACTCAGCTGGAGTTTTTCCAGTTGTGGCATGTGGCGTATTCCTGTAGGCAAACATAAAGTTGTCCACACTATGCTGTACAGACCGTCCTGATGACTTGTCCTTCTCTAGAGCCTGTTGTAGATTCTGTACAAGTCGCTCTGCTGCGCCATTTGAAGCTGCATGATACGGAGCCGACTTTTTAAAAATATTTAAAAAAACATTTTTAGTCATTTAGCAGACGCTCTTATCCAGAGCGACTTACAGTTAGTGAGTGCATACATTTTCATACTGCCCCCCGTGGGAAACGAACCCACAACCCACTTGATGTGTTTCACCCCATTCAACTAGAAGAATGTCTCCATCTCTTTTGACACCAGCTGTGGCCCATTGTCTGAAACACACTCCTCAACTAACCCGTAGGCTGAGAACATTCCCCGGAGTGTCTCTACCGTGGCTGTAGCTGAAGTATTGTATTTCATACTCATATGCAGCTAGTATTAACGCCCACCTCTGGAGTCTGGATTCTGCTGGAGCTGGAACTCCTGTTTTTGGTCCTAGTATTTTCACAAGAGGCTGATGGTCTGTCAGCAATGTAAACTTACCACCATATAGGTAGTCATGGAACTTCATTACCCCAAATATGATCCCTATGGCCACCTTCTCCATTTGGGCTTACTTCACCTCTGTCTTAGTGAGTGTGCGTGAAGCACATGCAATAGGCCTCTCACTACCGTCAGGCATTGTATGTGAAATGACAGCACCCACCCCATAAGTTGAGGCATCACAAGCCAATATTACTGGCATGTGAGGGTCGTAGTGCACTAACACTGAGGAGGAAGACAGCTGCGTCTTCGTTGTTTCAAATGCCTGCTGACATTGTTCTGACCACACCCAAGGTCTATCTTTCTGTAAGAGGTCTGACATAGGTTTGATGAGAGTAGAGAGATTCTCCATGAACTTGCCATAGTAGGTAAGTAAAGCCAGATATGCTCTGAGCTCTGTCACATTCATTGGCACTGGAGCCTTTGCTATGGCTTCAGTCTTGTCCTGCACTGTATGTAGCCCCTGTTCGTCTATCCTGTGACCTAAGTAAGTGACACTAGACTGAAAAAATGCACACTTGTCACTGCTTACTCTTAACCCACGCTCTTGCAGCCTCTGTAACACTGCTTCTACGTTCTGTAAGTGGTCCTGTGCCGATTTCCCTGTGATAAGAATGTCATCCAGAAAGCACACAACCCCAGGTAAACCCTGTAAGACCCGGTCCATAATATGTTGGAATATAGCTGGAGCGCTTGATACTCCATAAGGCAGTCTATTCATCTGGTATAAACCCTTCAGCGTGTTTATAGTAAGGAAATGCTTTGACTCTTGATCTACAATGGCTTGCGAAAGTATTCACCCCCCTTGGCATTTTTCCTATTTTGTTGCCTTACAACCTGGAATTAAAATGGATTTTTGTGGGGTTTGTATCATTTGATTTACACAACATGCCTACCACTTTGAACATGCAAAATATTTTTTATTGTGAAACAAACAAGAAATAAGACAAAAAAACTGAAAACTTGAGCGTGCATAACTATTAATCCCCCCAAAGTCAATACTTTGTAGAGCCACCTTTTGCAGCAATTACAGCTGCAAGTCTCTTGTGGTATGTCTCTATAAGCTTGGCACATCTAGCCACTGGGATTTTTGCCCATTCTTCAAGGCAAAACTGCTCCAGCTCCTTCAAGTTGGATGGGTTCTGCTGGTGTACAGCAATCTTTAAGTCATACCACAGATTCTCAATTGGATTGACGTCTGGGCTTTGACTAGGCCATTCCAAGACATTGAAATGTTTCCCGTTAAACCACTCGAGTGTTGTTCTAACAGTATACTTATGATCATTGTCCTGCTGGAAGGTGAACCTCCGTCCCAGTCTCAAATCTCTGGAAGACTGAAACAGGTTTCCCTCAAGAATTTCCCTGTATTCATTCCTTCAATTCTGACCAGTTTCCCAGTCCCTGCCGATGAAAAACATCCCCACAGCATGATGCTGCCACCACCATGCTTCACTGTGGGGATGGTGTTCTCGGAGTGATGAGAGGTGTTGGGTTTGTGCCAGACATAGCGTTTTCCTTGATGGCCAAAAAGCTCAATTCAGCTAGTCTCATCTGACCAGAGTACCTTCTTCCATATGTTTGGGGAGTTTCCCACATGCCTTTTGGCGAACACCAAACGTGTTTGCTTATTTTTTTCTTTAAGCAGTGGCTTTTTTCTGGTCACTCTTCCGTAAAGCCCAGCTCTGTGGAGTGTACGGCTTAAAGTGGTCCTATGGACAGATACTCCAATCTCCGCTGTGGAGCTTTGCAGCTCCTTCCGGGTTATCTTTGGGTTTTATTGTTGCCTCTGATTAATGCCCTCCTTGCCTGGTCCATGAGTTTTGGTGGGCGGCCCTCTCTTGGCAGGTTTCTTGTGATGCCATATTCTTTCCATTTTTTAATAATGGATTTAATGGTGCTCCATGGGATGTTCAAAGTTTCGGATATTTTTTTATAACCCAACCCTGATCTGTACTTCTCCACAACTTTGTCCCTGACCTCTTTGGAGAGCTCCTTGGTCTTCATGGTGCCGCTTGCTTGGTGGTGCCCCTTACTTAGTGGTGTTGCAGACTTTCAGAACAGGTGTATACAGTGGGGAGAACAAGTATTTGATACACTGCCGATTTTGCAGGTTTTCCTACTTACAAAGCATGTAGAGGTCTGTAATTTTTATCATAGGTACACTTCAACTGTGAGAGACGGAATCTAAAACAAAAATCCAGAAAATCACATTGTATGATTTTTAAGTAATTCATTTGCATTTTATTGCATGACATAAGTATTTGATACATCAGAAAAGCAGAACTTAATATTTGGTACACTGCAGCAGGGATTTTGGCCCACTCCTCCATACAGACCTTCTCCAGATCCTTCAGGTTTCGGGGCTGTCGCTGGGCAATACGGACTTTCAGCTCCCTCCAAAGATGTTCTATTGGGTTCAGGTCTGGAGACTGGCTAGGCCACTCCAGGACCTTGAGATTATTCTTACGGAGCCACTCCTTAGTTGCCCTGGCTGTGTGTTTCGGGTCGTTGTCATGCTGGAAGACCCAGCCACGACCCATCTTCAATGCTCTTACTGAGGGAAGGAGGTTGTTGGCCAAGATCTCGCGATACATGGCCCCATCCATCCTCCCCTCAATACGGTGCAGTCGTCCTGTCCCCTTTGCAGAAAAGCATCCCCAAAGAATGATGTTTCCACCTCCATGCTTCACGGTTGGGATGGTGTTCTTGGGGTTGTACTCATCCTTCTTCTTCCTCCAAACACGGCGAGTGGAGTTTTGACCAAAAAGCTCTATTTTTGTCTCATCAGACCACATGACGTTCTCCCATTCCTCCTCTGGATCATCCAGATGGTCATTGGCAAACTTCAGACGGGCCTGGACATGCGCTGGCTTGAGCAGGGATTTTAATCCATGACAGCGTAGTGTGTTACTAATGGTTTTCTTTGAGACTGTGGTCCCAGCTCTCTTCAGGTCATTGACCAGGTCCTGCCGTGTAGTTCTGGGCTGATCCCTCACCTTCCTCATGATCATTGATGCCCCACGAGGTGAGATCTTGCATGGAGCCCCAGACCGAGGGTGATTGACCGTCATCTTGAACTTCTTCCATTTTCTAATAATTGCGCCAACAGTTGTTGCCTTTTCACCAAGCTGCTTGTCTATTGTCCTGTAGCCCATCCCAGCCTTGTGCAGGTCTACAATTTTATCCCTGGTGTCCTTACACAGCTCTCTGGTCTTGGCCATTGTGGAGAGGTTGGAGTCTGTTTGATTGAGTGTGTGGACAGGTGTCTTTTATACAGGTAACGAGTTCAAACAGGTGCAGTTAATACAGGTAATGAGTGGAGAACAGGAGGGCTTCTTAAAGAAAAACTAACAGGTCTGTGAGAGCCGGAATTCTTACTGGTTGGTAGGTGATCAAATACTTATGTCATGCAATAAAATGCAAATTAATTACTTAAAAATCATACAATGTGATTTTCTGGATTTTTGTTTTAGATTCCGTCTCTCACAGTTGAAGTGTACCTATGATAAAAATTACAGACCTCTACATGCTTTGTAAGTAGGAAAACCTGCAAAATCGGCAGTGTATCAAATACTTGTTCTCCCCACTGTATATACTGAGATCCTGTGACACTTAAAGTACACCTGTGTGCAATCTATTTAACTAATTATGTGACTTCTGAAGGTAATTGGTTGCACCAGATCTTATTTAGGGGCTTCATAGCAAAGGGGCTGAATACATATGCACGCACCACTTTTCCGTTATTTATTTTTTAGATTTTTTAAAAATAAGTATTTTTATTTATTTCACTTCACCAATTTTGACTATTTTGTGTATGTCCATTACATGAAATCCAAATAAAAATCATTTAAATTACAGGTTGTAATGCAACAACATAGGAAAAATGCCAAGGGGGTTTAATACTTTTGCAAGGCACTGTACCTCCACTTGCTGGTAGGCCTGTAATAGGTCTAACTTTGTGAACTGTTTACCCCCGGCTAGAGTAGCAAACAAGTCCTGGGTCTTTGGTAAGGGGTACAGGTCCACATCCACCCATGCATTTACAGTCACCTTGTAATCATGACATATTCTGACACCCCTGTTTGTCTTTGGAACGCAAACTATAGGTGCTGCCCATTCACTATATTCTATGGGTGTGATCACTCCTTGTTTTTCTAGCTCTGTAAGCTGTTTGTCTACTGCCTCACTGAGTGCATAAGGCACAGGTCTAGCCATACAAAACTTTGGAACAGCTTTCTCTGACACTTGAATTTTGGCTTTAACTCCATTTACTACACCCATTTCACATTTATCACACAGCTGTGCAACTGGGTCTGACAGATGGTTCACTCTTGACCAATCTAATTTTAGGTGCTGAATCCAGTTTCTCCCCATTAGCGTAGGACCCTTCCCTTTTGACACTAATAGGGGTAGTGGTAACACCTGAGCACCCCATTTCACTTTAACCTCCAGCTTTCCCAAAAACATTTACATTTTAGTCATTTAGCAGACGCTCTTATCCAGAGCGACTTACAGTTAGTGAATACATATTTTTTTATACTGGCCCCCCGTGGGAATCGAACCCACAACCCTGGCGTTGCAAACGCCATGCTCTATCAACTGAGCTACATCCCTGAGCTACATCCCTGAGCTACAACTGAGCTACATCCCTCTATCAACTGAGCTACAAAACAACATCACATGGTTGCAGTTTATGCTTCTTAAATCTGCTGCTGTACAGCTTCTCTGAGATAATAGACATGGCAGCCCCAGTATCTACGTCCATCTTTATATTTTCCCTATTACATCTCACCATGACCATATATGGTTTCACAAACTCACGATCACTACACACAGTAAAAAGTCCCAAGTCCTTTTCTGACTGGTAATTTCCGACTGTACTGGACCCTGCAGGCAATAGCAGATGTTAAAATCTCCCCCTATGCCGCGCTTAACATCTTGCCCTACAGCTCCTTACTGGCAACTCCATAAACTAGCTGATCCCTCAGCTGCTCCTCTAGTGCAGCCCCAAACACACATGTAGCCGCCAGTCCCTTTAGCGATGCTATATACTCAGCTAACGTCTCTCCCGCCAATTGTTTCCTATTCCGAAAAACATACCTCACGTAATACATTTCTCAATACACCACACAGGGATACTCATGAACAGGATATCAACTCCATATTAATGCCCATAATTTTGAAAAATGTACGCAGGTGTCCACATAGTTTTGGTCATGTAGTGCACTTTAGATGTAGTTATATGTAGGCATGCATTGTATACGGTGTTGAGACAATCTTGACTTACTCATCAACCTCAATCTAAGCCTTAGGGAGAGTACTAAGTAAAACATATGGAATTGTTTTAAATGGTCATACATGATCATTTAGCTATATGAATTTGTAGGACCCTTTAGGTATCAAAATATTAAATTATTTGATAAAATACATACCTTTGCCTTTACTACTATAGCCCATAGAAACGCATTGAATGACACCTTTATAAATGCAAAGTTTTGAAGTCTGTCCTATATCTAGGTAATGGCTCAATAAATGTTTTTTTGGGCACATCTTTAACCCCTTACATATGTTGGCACAACTACCTCCATACTTCCATTTGTTTGTATGGGTTACCTTCAGAGGAATCTGTGAAGTTGTGGGGGCCATAGAGCAAAACGGAACCATGTTCGTGAGTCTCCCCTTTCCATAGCACGGCTGGCCCTTAAAAGTACACGGAGAGCTGACATTGATGACATGCATGTCAGTCTCTCCTGTCTCAGAGTGGAAGAGAGATTGACTTCATCACTGCTTGTTTATGTGAGAGGTGTCGACGAGCTGAATGTACCGAGCTGTCTGTTTGGAACACTGGCACACAGCTCTGACATCCATACATAACCCACAAGACATGACACCAGAGGTCTCTTCACAGTCCCCAAGTCCAGAATGGACTATGGGAGGCGCACAGTACTACATAGAGCCATGACTACATGGAACTCGATTCCACATCAGGTAACTGATGCAAGCAGTAGAATCAGATTTTACAAAACAGGTAAAAATACACCTTGTGGAACAGCGGGGACTGTGAAGAGACACACACACAGGTACATACACACATGCATATAGACGCTCACTCTACACACGTACACATGGATGTAGTCCCGTGTAGCTCAGTTGGTAGAGCATGGCGTTTGCAACGCCAGGGTTGTGGGTTTGATTCCCACGGGGGGCCAGTATGAAAATATATGCACTCACTAAAACTGTAAGTGCTCTGGATAAGAGCGTCTGCTAAATGTCTCAAATGTAATGTAAAAATGTAATGTTGTATTGTAAATATGTGATAGTGGAGTAGTGGCCTGAGGGAACACAATAAATGTACTGGGTAAAGTGTTATGAAATATAATGTGTTTTAAATTGTATATAACTGCCTTAATGTTGCAGGACCCCAGGAAGAGTAGCTGCTACCTTGGCAGCATTTAATAGGCCAAACCGTTCAGACGCTACAGATGTTGTCGTGAGAAGACCAATTTTTGTGATGTCACATGGTCTGACAAACTCTGCTGTAGCTCGGCCCCCATCCACCGCAAATGCGGAAGGGCGACATAGGCGGATGCAGTGGATTGAGAAGCAGTCCATGCAAAAACCTGATATTTCTAGCTTAAACTGATGGATTTTTTTATGTTACCCAAATTGATTCACATGTGCGTCAACAGATTTTTAACCTGTAGCTCATTCCTCCTGCTAGTCCGTTTATCGCACCACAGGCTCCTAAAGAATGGATTCAGTGTACTTGATCTTTACAATGCCTGGAACGGTTTAACTTATCAATGAACTAATATATTCTGTACAGACTACAGATCGTCTTAGAACATGTACACTTTTCTAAACCAAGTATTGTTGGTGAAATCATCGAACTGCATAGTATGAGAATTCAGACCTTAAATGGATCCATTAAGATCCAAAGAGAATGCCAGTAGGCACTAGCAGGGAAGCTCAGCTAGCATAAGGTGTCACCTGGGACTTATTCACAAACATTGACACAACTAAGACACATTTGCCTGTTGTAGTCGACTGTCTGTTTGGCCTCATGGACATGGATGAAATTGAATATGCATTCAATTGTCTACTTTTATGTAAGAAGTTAGACTCTGTGTTGATGGACAATCTCTAGTCTAGCATACGTCAACAGACGACTACAGTTTATATTTTGTCACAATCTTACTGTGTCTGCAGCCTTTTTGCACAACACATTTCTACCTGACCACTGAGGTTGCACCTGCAAAAGCCCCTGGCAGGAACTTCATTAGCATTCATTAAAAGGTGCACTTGGTTAAACTCAACCAGTGCAATGGGTAGGTAGAGTTCACTCTTTAAAACCATCGGATTGGTCCATGATGTGCAAACCCTCCAGCACACCAGCTGAATGAAATCAAGCGCACCTAATCTCAATTGGGAAGTTGGACCAATGGAAATGATGTTCAGTGGCTGGCAGCTGTACCTAATTAACCAGCCAGATTAGAAGGGTCTAGGATTACTTTATAAGGCGCAGCAAGAAAAGATAATCAGATATAATAAGGGGGATCTCCTGGTAAGGCTTCTGGCTATCATTAGTTCTGAATACTGTGTTTTTTTGTTTTAGAAAAAAATGGCTGTGAATTTTGGTCTGTCTTTGAGGTAAGTTGTATCGCCCTAGTTTGTTTCCCTTGTCTCTCAGGTTTTACAGGTAGCTGTTTTTAACTGATTAGGATGTTTATTTTTTATTTAGAATTACTTGGATTTGTTGCCTGCTGATTGTTGGGATAACCTGTTATCCTCCACCTAAAGGTGTGTTCAACACATTCAGTTAAAATAACATTATTTTGTGTAGTTCCAAGAACTTCAAATGCTGGTATTTTACTATTTTTGACATTTTGTCTCGTTTCCTAGGTGACCATAGATATCTTCCCCAAATTGCAACAAAGGGAACCGGCTCCTACGCCCCCGCAACAAAGGGAACCGGCTCCTACGCCCCCCGCAACAAAGGGAACCGGCTCCTACGCCCCGCAACAAAGGGAACCGGCTCCTACGCCCCCGCAACAAAGGGAACCGGCTCCTACGCCCCCGCAACAAAGGGAACCGGCTCCTACGCCCCCGCAACAAAGGGAACCGGCTCCTACGCCCCCGCAACAAAGGGAACCGGCTCCTACGCCCCCGCAACAAAGGGAGCACCCGGCCCCAACGCCCCCGCAGCAACGGAAGCACCCGGCCCCAACGCCCCCGCAGCAACGGAAGCACCCGGCCCCAACGCCCCCGCAGCAACGGAAGCACCCGGCCCCAACGCCCCCTCAGCAACGGAAGCACCCGGCCCCAACGCCCCCTCAGCAACGGAAGCACCCGGCCCCAACGCCCCCTCAGCAACGGAAGCACCCGGCCCCAACGCCCCCTCAGCAACGGAAGCACCCGGCCCCAACGCCCCCCTCAGCAACGGAAGCACCCGGCCCCAACGCCCCTCAGCAACGGAAGCACCCGGCCCCAACGCCCCCTCAGCAACGGAAGCACCCGGCCCCAACGCCCCCTCAGCAACGGAAGCACCCGGCCCCAACGCCCCCCTCAGCAACGGAAGCACCCGGCCCCAACGCCCCCTCAGCAACGGAAGCACCCGGCCCCAACGCCCCCTCAGCAACGGAAGCACCCGGCCCCAACGCCCCCTCAGCAACGGAAGCACCCGGCCCCAACGCCCCCTCAGCAACGGAAGCACCCGGCCCCAACGCCCCCTCAGCAACGGAAGCACCCGGCCCCAACGCCCCCTCAGCAACGGAAGCACCCGGCCCCAACGCCCCCTCAGCAACGGAAGCACCCGGCCCCAACGCCCCCTCAGCAACGGAAGCACCCGGCCCCTCAGCAACGGAAGCACCCGGCCCCTCAGCAACGGAAGCACCCGGCCCCTCAGCAACGGAAGCACCCGGCCCCTCAGCAACGGAAGCACCCGGCCCCTCAGCAACGGAAGCACCCGGCCCCTCAGCAACGACTGACCCAAATACCTTAGGTGAAGCGACAGGCGCCCCTGCCTCGGCAGAAGCGACAGGCCTTGAACAGGAGGGCCAACTTCTCAAGCAACTTGGATTTTAGCAGCAGTGATGGTTCTGAGTATGTTTGGTCCGATGTCGGTGACAATGAAAGCACTCAAGATGTCAGCTCCAGTAGCACTCAAGGCAGCATTGTTGAACAGTCTGTTCTCATTCCAATCTAGTTACAAATCGATTTATGAGAATGGCAAAACTGTATTCTCCCAAACCTGCTACACCCCTGGGGAGGTTATACCTTTTGGATTGCAGAGATGCTCCCAAGGACTGTAGTGATGTTGGCATCTCTGAACCAAGCATATCCCCACCTGCTAAACTCTCAACCTGCTAAAGGAACCCCACCACAAGGAAAGGCTCCTGGGAGTGTAAAGTTGTACATTGCATCTGAACTTTGTTTCTGATTTTGTAGTCCTTTTGTACTAATTATCTATCAATAGAATTCTAATGGTGGATTCATCCTTTGGCTGCTCCAATGGTAGTACTTGATTTAAATAACCGGAAATGATGACAATTCTGAGTTGTTGCTGATGCTTTCTTTTGTTCCACTGTATGCGTTTGATTCGGCCAGGGAGTTCCTCCTGCATTACTTGAACAATAAAATATTTTAAATTCAGAAGTGCCTACTTGTGTTTGAAATACTGAGTTCTTTAATGTCTACCTTTGGCTTGCTGATTGCGAACAGTGTTGGTTGCCAGTGGAGTTTGTAGTGAAAGGGAATGTGGTTCAGTTCCTAATCATTTGGTGTTCAAATCTTTTGTTAAATTCCAAGATTGGCTCTACATTAGCGCCACAGACCACGTTTACATGCACACTAATATCCCGTTATTATTTGGGATACTGACTTATTCGGTTGACGCAGATAAACACATCCCGTTTACAATAACCTGAAAAAGCTTATCCCGGTTATCAGAAACCTGGACGAGATGCCTGCAATATGCTGATCGATGACGGGGATACTGTGGCATGTAAAAACCTTATCCCGTTTCTGCGGTCTGTGCAGGCTCCGTTTCGCATATCATGGGTGCTGTGTTCATCTGTCAAACAAATCACGTCAAAGTAGGCTACCTGCGCATTCCAATCCACAATTTAGCCTATTCTATAATGGCTACTTTCCCCCCTAATATAGACAAGCTTCTGCTTATTTCTGACAGTAGGTAGGCTATTTGTCTAATCTAGTTTAGTAGATGCAGCTTCTGTCATTACGTGTTGCCCCAGAAGACTAAAGTAGTGCTCACTTGATGTTTTACATTGAGAGAATTAATGCATTAGTTAGGGACCAGGTAGAACGCTGTAACTCCAACCGTGGAAATGAGAAGCTGAGAATGGGAACTTCAGTTTGTCTTGGGTGCTTATTGTATGTGGTTGAAATGCTGTCTGCTTGTGAAAGAGTCAAGGATAACACATTACACGTACATTCGCATTTTCCCAGAGATGCTGATAGAAATATTTATCCACTCGTGTTCCCAAGACAATTTAAAGTTACATTTGTATCATTTCACTGCAGGAAAACCATAATTCTGCAGAAGTTAATATTACATGTGAGGTTATAGGCCTGCAGTCAGTGTCCATATTTCAGATACTATTCCATTTAACCCATACACGTAAATGAGGAATATTCTGTTTATTCATGAATACAGGGTGTTGCATCCTAAGATGCTGGGTCCTTTTACTGAAGACTCCGAAGCGTACTTACTGTATAATAAACAGAACAGATGTATTTAATGTTCTCCTTAACACATTCCAGTCGACCACTCTCTACAGTGTCTTCAGCCCAGCTCCCCAACACATTGAACTTTCACCGCCCTTGCATCACCTAATCCAATCACTTCAATGCAAGAACGGAAACCCCATTTCCATTTGTTAATTCAAATAACTCAACCCCTGCATACAAAATCCCATTGACTATTTGCAACCATTTAAAATCTAAACTCATTAACACATAATACATTTCTCAATACACCACACTCCTCCCCGGAATTTCCCACTTCCTCTGAAAACATCATGGGTTTTCCAAAACAGTTTTTCACTTATCAACTCATATACAACCTGTTTACAGATCCAACTGGTCCGAAAGCCTTCTGACCCTTCATGGCCTCTCATGACGCTCTGGACCCTCAGGCTCACTGCCTGTTACAATCTGTGTCTCTGTATGCGTGCCCATCACAGTCGTAGTGTCCAAGTCCCAATCAGAGATGTTCCACTCTGACACATTCTTTCATTGTCTTGCATCATCAAGTAGGTTACAGGACCAAGTACCCTTTTCACAACCCTGTGTACCCATTTCTCTCTGTCTCCTCCCCGGTAATCTCGGACAAGCACTGTTTGTTCCGACTGAAAAAAACGAAGACTCTTGCCCACCCCCTTGTCCTGTATCTTAGACTGCATGTCAGCTGAAAATCTGGGTTTAACCAGTGATAACCTTGTTCTAACCAGTCTTTTTAGGAACAACTCTGCTGGAGTTTTTCCAGTTGTGGCATGTGGCGTATTCCTGTAGGCAAACAGAAAGTTGTCCACACTATGCTGTACAGACCGTCCTGATGACTTGTCCTTCTCTAGAGCCTGTTGTAGATTCTGTACAAGTCGCTCTGCTACGCCATTTGAAGCTGCATGATACAGAGCCAACTTTTTAAAAACATTAAACAAATTTTTTTTTAGTCATTTAGCAGACGCTCTTATCCAGAGCGACTTACAGTTAGGGAGTGTCTACTTTTTCATACTGGCCCCCCGTGGGAAACGAACCCACAACCCACTTGACGTGTTTCACCCCATTCAACTAGAAGAATGTCTCCATCTCTTTTGACACCAGCTGCGGCCCATTGTCTGAAACATACTCCTCAACTAACCCGTAGGCTGAGAACATTCCCCGGAGTGTCTCTACTGTGGCTGTATCTGAAGTATTGTATTTCATACTTATATGCAGCTAGTATTAACGCCCACCTCTGGAGTCTGGCTGCTGCTGGAGCTGGAACTCCTGTTTTTGGTCCTAATATTTTCACAAGAGGCTGATGGTCTGTCAGCAATGTAAACTTACCACCATATACAGTGGGGAGAACAAGTATTTGATACACTGCCGATTTTGCAGGTTTTCCTACTTACAAAGCATGTAGAGGTCTGTAATTTTTATCATAGGTACACTTCAACTGTGAGAGACGGAATCTAAAACAAAAATCCAGAAAATCACATTGTATGATTTTTAAGTAATTAATTTGCATTTTATTGCATGACATAAGTATTTGATCACCTACCAACCAGTAAGAATTCCAGCTCTCACAGACCTGTTCGTTTTTCTTTAAGAAGCCCTCCTGTTCTCCACTCATTACCTGTGTTAACTGCACCTGTTTGAACTCGTTACCTGTGTAAAAGACACCTGTCCACACACTCAATCAAACAGACTCCAACCTCTCCACAATGGCCAAGACCAGCGAGCTGTGTAAGGACATCAGGGATACAATTGTAGACCTGCACAAGGCTGGGATGGGCTACAGGACAATAGGCAAGCAGCTTGGTGAGAAGGCAACAACTGTTGGTGCAATTATTAGAAAATGGAAGAAGTTCAAGATGACGGTCAATCACCCTCGGTCTGGGGCTCCATGCAAGATCTCACCTCGTGGGGCATCAATGATCATGAGGAAGGAGAGGGATCAGCCCAGAACTACACGGCAGGACCTGGTCAATGACCTGAAGAGAGCTGGGACCACAGTCTCAAAGAAAACCATTAGTAACACACTACGCCGTCATGGATTAAAATCCTGCAGCGCACGCAAGGTCCCCCTGCTCAAGCCAGCGCATGTCCAGGCCCATCTGAAGTTTGCCAATGACCATCTGGATGATCCAGAGGAGGAATGGGAGAAGGTCATGTGGTCTGATGAGACAGAAATAGAGCTTTTTGGTCTAAACTCCACTCGCCGTGTTTGGAGGAAGAAGAAGGATGAGTACAACCCCAAGAACACCATCCCAACCGTGAAGCATGGAGGTGGAAACATCATTCTTTGGGGATGTTTTTCTGCAAAGGGGACAGGACGACTGCACCGTATTGAGGGGAGGATGGATGGGGCCATGTATCGCGAGATCTTGGCCAACAACCTCCTTCCCTCAGTAAGAGCATTGAAGATGGGTCATGGCTATGTCTTCCAGCATGACAACGACCCGAAACACACAGCCAGGGCAACTAAGGAGTGGCTCTGTAAGAAGCATCTCAAGGTCCTGGAGTGGCCTAGCCAGTCTCCAGACCTGAATCCAATAGAACATCTTTGGAGGGAGCTGAAAGTCCGTATTGCCCAGCGACAGCCCCGAAACCTGAAGGATCTGGAGAAGGTCTGTATGGAGGAGTGGGCCAAAATCCCTGCTGCAGTGTGTGCAAACCTGGTCAAGACCTTCAGGAAATGTATGATCTCTGTAATTGCAAACAAAGGTTTCTGTACCAAATATTAAGTTCTGCTTTTCTGATGTATCAAATACTTATATCATGCAATAAAATGCAAATTAATTACTTAAAAATCATATAATATGATTTTCTGGATTTTTGTTTTAGATTCCGTCTCTCACAGTTGAAGTGTACCTATGATAAAAAGTACAGACCTCTACATGCTTTGTAAGTAGGGAAACCTGCAAAATCGGCAGTGTATCAAATACTTGTTCTCCCCACTGTATGTGCTTTCTTGAGCAGGGGGACCTTGCGGGCGCTGCAGGATTTCAGTCCTTCACGGCGTAGTGTGTTACCAATTGTTTTCTTGGTGACTATGGTCCCAGCTGCCTTGAGATCATTGACAAGATCCTCCCGTGTAGTTCTGGGCTGATTCCTCACCGTTCTCATGATCATTGCAACTCCACGAGGTGAGATCTTGCATGGAGCCCCCGGCTAAGGGAGATTGACAGTTATTTTGTGTTTCTTCCATTTGCAAATAATCGCACCAACTGTCGTCACCTTCTCACCAAGCTGTTTGGCAATG